TCCTGCAGATTGGCAGGGGAGGGGCAGGGGGTCTTGGCTGGCTGGAGAGGAGCCGGTCCTTGACCTGGAAGGGCTGCCCAAGTTAGTGCAACCAAGCAGAGGGGGAGATGAAACAGGTGCTGAGTTCTCTACTGATGACCACCACCCCCACCTCAAAAAAATATAAATAAATCCAAAAATAAAGCCTTCCTGGTTTTGGCTCTTCCCCAGTCCAAAGGCCGGGATGTTGACCCCAAAGGAATCCTCTTGTTATGCCCCTGTTGGAGTCTGACTATGAGGGAGAGGTTGAGCAGCTGACAGGGAGTGGGAGTGTGGCTCCGGTGGCTGTGGAGGAAACTGGGGAAGGGCACAGGCCAGCATTCAGAAGAAGACCCAGGCCCATCCCCTCTTCATCCTAGGGCACGCAGGTAGAAACGGAGAAGGGAGAAATGTGAATGGAGTGGTCTATGGGGGAGGAAGGGGCCCTGATGCCCTTCATGGGCTGCAGCTGTGAGGACTGATTAAAGGATTGATTTATTTTGCTGGAGCTTCTTTGGATGGTGGTTCTGCCCGCTGGAACTCAGGCCTGGAGTCCAGATCTGGCAGTTTTTTTACGGAGGGCTTAGAGAAGGTTTTCTTAAGCTGGCGAAGAAAAGAACTCCACGTTGGTAGGTGAGGAAGAAACGCACTTGCAGGTGGCTAGGGACGATTTGTTTGTTTGTTTGCAGGAAATGACACTCCGCACAAATTCACTTGTGCGCTAGAGGCGGACGAGAAGTCACGTGTCTTCCAGATTCAGAATAACAGAGCTGGAAGGGACCTTGGAGGTCTTCTAGTCCAGCCTCCTGCTCGAGCAGGAGATCCTATACCATTCCAGACAAATGGCTGTTCAGTCTCTTCTTAAAAACCTCCAGTGATGGAGAAGGAAGGAAAACAGTATAACCGAATAACGGAGTTGGAAGGGACCTGGGAGGTTGTGATGACCCAGGGTGGGATACAAAAGCAACAAAGTCACAAAAACAGATGAAGTCCTTTTAATTCCTTCAACTTGGCTTCAAAGGTCCAATTACCATTGACTGGAGAAAAAACTCCCCCACAAACAGTTGCGCAAAAGGAAGAACTTCCGTTCAAACTCAAAATACATATAAATTATAAATAGAAAAAAAAAATAACACAACCCACACTGAAGCAATTGAGACAAGGCAAGATAAGGGCTTGAAGACGTCCACAGATATTGAAATACACACACTGGGAAGGATGCCAAAACTCAGATAAGAACGGAAAGACTACAATTATTTCACACTTTGCTTCCAGCACTGGGCCATGTGCAGTTTGTCCTTTTAAACAGTCCTCACAGCTGCAGCCCATGAAGGGGATCAGGACCCTTTCCTCCCCCGTAAGACCACGCCATTCATGTTTCTCCCTTATCTGCCCTAGGATGCAGAGGGGTCTTGCTCTGACTGCTCAGCTGGCCTCTGCCCTTCCCCAGTTTCCTCCACAACCTCCGGAGCCACATCTCCACTCTGTCCGCTGTTCCTCCTCTCCCTCAAAGTCAGATTTGAACCAGGGACATGACAGAGGTCTCCTAATCCAGCCGCCTGCTCAAGCAGACTGTTCCTTGGCCAATGGCTGTCCAATCTCTTCTTAAAAACTTCCAGTGATGGAGCACTGAAAGACGTTGCCCACCTCGTATTTAATTCCTCGGTGGTGGATTGCTAGGTGGTTAACGCACTTGGCTGTGGCCTGCCACACTTCATAAATATTGCCCACTGTTTAAAGTTGGACGCCTCTCGCCAAAATCCTCCGTGAAGCTTTTCGAAGCAACTTGAGCTTGTCTTTCTTCTTGACGGAATCAGCGCCGTCCTTAAAGCCCCTGGAAAAAGCTGCTGGCAAAGAGGAGGGGTGTGGGTGCTTTGATCCTGGGCAGGAACTGTTGGGGCGCTGGGATGTCTTGGCAAGCGGCTAAGCCTGCTTTTGACCAGCGCATGGTCAGGTTTGGAATGGGAAACCCACCAAATCAGCCGGTTGCCCATCTTGGCAGCGACGGAGGGGGCCTGCGTGCCAAGTGCATTGGCGGAACCGTTCGAGCAGCTGCGGCAGACAATTATCTGTCTATTTTCAGAAGATGCAGAGACCCAACCATTCGCAGACCGGAGCTAGAGCCAAAAAGGGAGGAAAGCAGGGAGGGAATTCTGGATCTTAGCAGCAATTTCTTAATCTAATCATAGTTTGGGGCTTCGGGATGATGTTGGTTCACGCCCCCCCCCCCCATTGTATAAGCCAGTTGGGTCATTTTAAGTCACTTGAAAATCGGCTCGAGCTGTGATGATTTTCAGCTTTTCCCACCAGCCCCCCTCCTCACCCTCTTCTGCTCACCGCTGACTGCCTGGTAGGTCCCAAAAGCCATTGGGGGGGCGGGGGGGAGTGGGGAGAAGCGAGGAAGGGGTCCCGGAATTTAGCTCAAGCTTTCGGGGTGAACCTGATGCCCGATCTCTCTTAGGCAAAGCATTTTTTACAGCAAGAAAACTTGCAAAGAGTTTTTTTTTCTGCAGCCAGAAAAGTTGCATAGAATTTTTGTTTGCAGCCAGAAAAGTTGCAAAGAATTTTTGTTTGCAGCCAGAAAAGTTGCAAACAATTTTTATTTTTATTTTTGCAGCGAGGAAATATTTCATGCCCAGAGAACGGGGTAAGGTGCAGAGAGCAGAAGAGTACCTCGAAAAGATGCAGACTTCAACTCCCAGGATTCCCCCCGCCAGCTATAAACCAGCTAATTCTGGGAGTTGAAGACTACACAGCTTCAAGGTACCACGGTTGGGAATCTCTGCCTCTGAGGACACAAGGTCTCACAAGGTCTCTCTCGAGAATGAGAAGCCAACTTCCTTGCCACCCAGGCGAAACGGACGACTCATCGGACTGCAATTGTTAACTTTCCACTCAACAAAAATACGTGCAAATGCTCTCTTTGCCCCAGCTGGGTTTCCCAGAACAATGTCTTTCTATCCCGGACAGACTTGAGCAAAATTCACTTTTGAGGCCAGGTGAGATCAAGCAGGTGAGGTCGCCCCAAAGGACCAAACACACCAAAACGTCCTGCCATTTTAAGGTGGTTTTTTTTATGCTGGGCCTGCAAACTCAGGGAGCGAAGTTGGAAAAAGAGGCCTTTAGGTTTATAAAATGGTCACATCCTTGCAAGGGGAGATGAAGAGGTCGCCTTTAGGAATGTCAGGGGACCACAAAACAGTGAGGTGGTCGTTGTACCTAACACCCCCCCTCCCCCAAAAAACAACAACAACACACACACACAACCAGAATTAGAACTGAGTTAGACAAAAAGCTCAATTGATACGGTATGATACGAGACCATATTTACGGCTCTTTCCCAACGTGCATTGAATGAATCCATGTGGATCAGCACTGATAACATTCCTTAGTGGGGTCATGAAACGTCTGCAAGAAAACCACCCAGCTCAGAGAGCAGCAGAGACCCCCCAGTCTTCTTCCTCCTCCTCCTCCAACCCCAATTCTCCTAGCACTGATCATGTTCCCTAGCTGGGTCATGAAAAGTCTGCAAGAAAACCAGAAGGAGAACCCCAAGCACCCCACGGCCCATCTCCTCTTCTGCAAACCCTCCCCCACCTTGTCACACTGATGATGTTACTTAGCTGGGTCATGAAACGTTTGCAAGAAAACCACCAAGCTCAGAGAACGTCAAGGCCCCCTCGCACTGAATAATCTCATCCTTGGCCATGTTAATAATTGCAATGTGATAACAAGGACTCAGGTCTCCAGGTGTTCCTTGGGGGGAAGGTGGCATCCTGACCCTTCAGGCTGCCTATCTCTGCACCCAGAGGAACTTATTTGCAAGTCTTAACTCTTTTTTTGGCAGATGTGTAACTCTTTCCCCTTCTTGGGGGGGGGGAGGGGCCATTCACTTCTATTTCTTTTTATTTCTACTGCTTAGACCTCCAAGTTTCCATCCTGCAAACAGCCCTTTCGTTTTCCCACGGTGAAACAACCTGTTCCATTTCTTCCACAATGCCAACTGGTTTTGGGTTTGTTTGTTTTTTGGCCTGCTGTAGGATCCGCACAAAACTCCACCAGGATGGATGTGTTAAATGGGAAGTGGGGGGACACACTAAGGCACCCCAGTCTTGCTTTCCTCCATGGGGATGGTGGTGGAAGGCCACACGGGGGACAGGAAAAGCCAGTTTTCTTTTTAATCAACACTGAAGTTTACAGACCCCGTACCGGGTGGGATGGAATGAAACGGGATTTCACAGCCAACAGTGGGGGGTGGTGAAGAAAGCGGAACAGCCAGCATTGGATGCCCACTCCCCAGATCCACAAACACAACCCGGCCAGATGTTTTCTTGACCAACCTGGCGAAGAGTCCAAAGGAAAAATCCTTTTTAAAAAAGGTGGGGGGGTTTTTGTGGCGGGGGGGGAAGAGCGGGGAAGAAAGACGTCGGTGCTTTTGAAAACCAAAATGCACAATTTTTGGAAAGGGCAAATTATTTTGGCTCAGGCTGAGAACAAAGACCCTGTGTGTGTCTCTCTCTCTCACACACACACACACACAAAATGGAAGATGCATCCGGAGCTTTGTTCTTTCTCTTGCAGACCTTTAGCGGTGACCTGGCGAGGCGTCCGATGGAGGCGTTTGCTCTGGGTGGGGTGGGAGTGGGGCAAATAGATAGGCAGGGGGTGGGGAGGGTTGTGGGGTGTTTGGAAATGACCCCAGGCCCCCACAGCAGCCCTGCCCAGCCCAGCTCTGCTCTGCAGCCAGGAGTCCAGTTCTGCTCTTTTGGCTTCCTTAACCAGCATTAAAAATACCTGGTAAAATGTTTTCCCCCCTCTGTGTGTGTGTGTGTGTGTGTGTGTGTGTGTGTGTGTGTGTGTGTTTGTGAAAAGGAACCATTGGATCTTGTCGACAAAATGGGAAACCGTCACCAAGAGAGCAAGTTTTTCTTTCTTTCTTTCTTTCTTTCTTTCTTTCTTTCTTTCTTTCTTT